TGGCATTATAAATATGAAATGAAATATTTTGTTGCCAACTGACAGACAGTTGCGCCGGAACATGGGGGACATGTTTCTCCATGCCTGTGGTTATGGATTGTGGCAAACGTTTGTGTGCTTTCGCGAGTCCTCGTTCAGCTTAACTCATAGATACGGTCCTGAATCTGTACACTGCAACTGGTCAAGTAGCATGGAGCCAGGGCTTGTCTCAATGATGCCCGTAGGCATCTAGAAACAAGGTGATGGTGGATTTGCGTGAAGTAAATGTGGCATAATATTTTCATGTGAATCTCATCTCAGCTTTCTGCAAGTAGGTGACTCAACTGTAAGAAAAGAGGTGCCGTAGAAAGTATTGTAGAATTTAGACTATTCCCTGAAGAGGTTTCTTTGCTGTAAGTATACAGATCCGCAGCTCGAACGTTTTGGAGAGTTGTGCGATCTCTTGTCAGTCAATAGTGCAAGTGTTGTGCAGATGGTGCTTTATTCAAACCAAATCAATCAAATTAATCAAATTTCACTCTGTGCTTATTTTTGCACTGGGTTGTCAGTTATCAGTCATTTTGCCCGAGGCGAAGTAAGACCACGGGGATCCCTTGCATACGATATGGACCCTACACACTTCGTCTATTCCGAGATGACCACACTAGAGTACCGCGTTGTCCCTCCTTCCGGCGAGTCAACGATTTACTACCCGTTTCACGGCTGGTAGCAGCAAAGTAAAGTTTGGAAAAATTTCTTTCTCATGTCGGCTGTCGCTTCAACGGAATCAAATCCGCATTTCCGGAGTTCAGAACGACCGTTTTGCCATTCTGCTATCACGCCTCCACGTTACCTCACGACAAAGTCACAGCTTTTCTGGAATTATGGTCTCCTCTGACCGAACAGATTTCCAACGAACGGCCAAAACACACACTCGAACAGCAGGGAGGGAAATTCTGAAGAGGAATGTAAAGTGCGTTACAACAAAATGGTCACTGAAACGTGGTACAGTACAACGGATCACTTACGTTTAGGCTACGCCGAAGCTTATGCTCGAACATAACATTCTCTTTTGATGGCCTATAAGTGATTCTCACGTTCTTAGTATCTCACACATTGACTTAAGACATGCAGTTTTTCTGTACATAGAAAGTGACATCAACGTAAACCCTATGTTGTTTCACATGCTGATCAGTCACTTCAACAATCCTACTGTTTCCAGTCATATCTCTTGATATCTCTTTCTGCGGCTTCATTCTCATAGCCAGTCCTCCAGTGTACGTGATATGTCATCATGGTTTATTGCCAGGCCAGCTGCTGATTTATTAATTCACTCAAGGTGGAATGGGTGCCCCATATCGTTCTTTACTCTTTCACAGTTATTTACCATATCTGGTATATTAATCCATAATCAAATAGTTATGGCAGGAGATATCGATTCATGGCCGCTTCCCTATCCATATAGTTTAAGAAAGCAATTAAAATGGACAATAAAACATCCTTTATCTACCAACACGCTTCCACGATGCCCCCAGCGTCATCGTCGAAGATGAACGTAATCGTCTTCACTTTGTTTTGCTGAGTTATGTTACTCAAAGTTCATATAATAATCGATTGCATATGGTACTCTTGAACTTGGAACTTATTCCATGTGCATCTCTTTGTAAATAAAGCTACCTGCGGTGCAACAGACCAGGTGGGGAGGGGGGTTGCTTTGTTTGACATTAGTTCTGCGACTTTGTGAAGAGTCATGAAGAGGGTAGCACAGAGGAGGAAAGCGAACAGTACTTATATTCACAGGCAGTTGCCCACCACAACGAACACCTAAAGTAAATAAACCGTAGATTCGCCTCTTTGTACTCCCCCTTCTACGGGATGATGGCCAATCCGTGTGCATTCGTTCGTTTCAGCAACCCAGTAATAATGGAAGCTTACTTAGATTTCCGTCACTTCCTTGTGCATGATAGATAAGGCTCGTGGAGACTGTCGCATCGGCATTAATATTCCAAAAAGCTCTTAAGCATAATTGCCTGAGATACGACGGCTTGAGGGTCCGGATTCCTAGCAGGTTCGTTCTGTTGAGCGAAAGGAAAAATTCACTGACGGTTCCTCCAGCAGCATACTACAACGATTCGAAGGAAAATCGAATATGTTAAAAACATGTGTTGCATATTATCAGTGACATTTCTTAGGATCCCTCTAGAAATTTATATCTGCTTACTGTTTGGCTCTGTTAAGCCCTCAGAGTTTTAGACTAAATGGCGATCGGTTCGTCGAACTTGCACAAGATTCAAGATAACACATCCCACCGTACTTTGTCCATGGATGAATCCACTGTCCCATTATTGTAAGACAAAATCTGATTCTCAGAGAAATGGTTTATAAAGACAACTTCTTCTACCCCCCCCCCGATGTGTTGCCAGCTATCGTCAGTATGAAAATGTATATCCATAAACCTTGTTTGGGTTCTGTCGGCAAGGTCATCCCCAATGACTATAGTTCAAACACGAAACATGCCTTTTGCATGTGTTAATCACTAAGATAAATTATAAAACCGCGTTTCTATAACTTACAAACTTCAGGGTGGTCTATACGTTTTCCAAGTTTTCGATTACTACGGTGCCAGTGGGTGGGTGCTGCTTTGGTTGCTGTTTTTCGAATGCATAGCAATATCATGGTGTTATGGTAAGTTGATATTTTCTTCCGCTATGTCGGTAGTATGACTATATCTTTAATATTGTCTGCATCATAATTATAATCATCGCTATTCAGACCATTGATTCTGTCCCACTCGTAATGACCAATTTCAGGACTGGATAAATGGTTTGAAAACCTGAAGGACATGCTCGGATACTACCCAAGCGCTTGGTGGAGGTTTTGTTGGAAATACGCATGCCCGGCCGTTTGTTTCGTAAATCTTCAGAGTCTGCTTTTAAGCTTATACCGTAAAATATAAACTTTAGGGAGTAACCATCTTCACACTTGTACAATACAAAGGGGCAACGTTGCCAAATTACACGTTCCCCGTTTGGGCTGATGTCGTCGGTTGGCTGATAGCTATGTCGTCTATGCTTTGGGTTCCGGGATACGCGATATATCTTTACTGTGTCACTCCCGGTACTGTTAAAGAAGTATGTACTGTACATTTTAGACATATCCTCGGCCAATGATAATCTTTGTCTTGTTCAGAAATACGCTAAACTTATTTCTCCAACTGTGGACATACGTGAACTTCGGACCGCTGTACACGGAACAGACGATACAGGGCACCAATTCGAAATGTCCATGGTGCAAGCTAGGAAAACGTAGCAATGGTCAAGGTAATGACCGGTTCACAGGCATAACTCAAATGAGCTAATGAGCTCATTAAAATTTTAGCGTTTCATGTATCATCTATCTACGTTGTGCTGACATTAGGTTTTGTCAGATAGCAACATATTTTAAAGCATATGTGAAATGTTTATTCTTATTCATGTAATAAAACTGTTAATTGCCAGAAACTCAGTTAAGAACAGGCGTCGATGCCGAAAGAGTTGTTTACCAACACAAGAAAAGAAACAATTCATCATAGAGCAATACTACTACTTTACTACTTTAATGACCGCTACGTACTTCGACAGTTGTTTGTTGAAAGAATTCACCTCCCTGAGCCGTTTATTTAAGCAGGACCGCCCGCTCTGGTTTGTGAGTTACTGCATCGTTGGAGTAAGTATTTTTCTCCAAAGTCAGACCTGTCTCGTCTCGACCATGTTCTCCATGTTTAATGCCATTCTCCTGGACGACGTCGCCGTGTTTTGGTTGTCACACGTGAAACTCCTTGGTTCATACGTAGTGAATGGTTCCTACAGTGTGTCTGATAGGGCCAACATTCGCTTTTTAGTCTCTTCGTTTGACTGGCAAGGCATTTGATTGTCATTCTTCACGTGATCCTACCAAATTGGCGTTGTTATGCTTCGAAGCCGGTGCTGTTGTATGCAGTTTAGCAGTCGTCAGAACAACAAAGCTAACCTGACAGGGGAAAGGTAGAGGCAGATTTTTTTCTGAAACAGGCCTTGTTTTTTCAGCGCATTGGACAGGTTTCCACAAGTACTCGACTTTAGGGCAATCTTACTGCTTAACTGTGACTGGATGGTGCCATAGCTAAAGATGATAGAATCAAGGTACCTCCCAGAAGGCTTCTCGTCCTGTTTCACTTGCAAAACAGCTGTGCCACAAGGATTCCTCAAAACTCCTCACTTCCGTCATTGAGGAAGAAATCGGCTTTCGCAGCTGTGTTGCATTTTGTTGTGACATTTTGTACTTCAGCAGCCTCACATGCAAGAGGAATCGCCGCATTAAGCTTTT